TGCCCAGGGAAGTGGTGGAGTCCCCATCCCTGGAGGTATTTAAAAGATGGGCAGATGAGGTTCTTAGGGACATGGTTTAGTGGTGGGATGGCAGGGTTAGGTTAATGGTTGGACTTGATGATCTTAAAGGTCTTTTCCAACCTAAATGATTCCATGATTCTAAGAATCTCTGCTCACCCCTGGCAGCACCTCCCCAAACTGATGTTAGGAGTCCTCAGTCTGCAGCTGTGTGGGATGCAGTACAGCTACACAAATGTAGAGAAGCCCCAAGAGCAAATAAATAGCGCTTGAGATGAAAGGAAGCATGCAACTAAATCTGTTAGTGCTGCAAGTTCTTTGCTGCCTTTTTTCTGAAATAGTTAACTAAAGATGGTGCTGTGCAGATTTGTTTCCATAAACATTTTATTGCCTCTGATCCTGTGCAAATGAGAATTCAGCCAAGATTGAGTGAAAACCCCATGACCAAAGAAACCATTTGGAATTTGGTGGTTATTGGACTTCTTGTTTTGAGACTAGTTTTCAAATGCAGGCTGGACGATCAGCTTTTTACTTCCCATAAAAAGAATACAAAGTACTGGTTTTCTGTCAATTAGAAATACACTAGGTGGGCACGCAGCAAATACCATTAGTGAGCAGGAGTTAGTCACTGTATGTGGAGGCTTATCAACGTTATGGGGTAAATTTCCAGAACTAGTGGCTTTGTGCACGTTGAAGGGATTATATTTCACATGTTTCTTTACCTCTTGCAGCACGTGATCTTGTCAGTCTGTGTGTTCCCATTTGGGAATGGCACAACTCTGGCACTGACAGATTTGCAGCTTTGGAGTTCACAGCCAGCTTTATGGTTGGAAGTAGCGCTCTGATTCACGTCTTACTACTTCACAATACACTCAAGCACTTTTTGTTGGAAAGAAAGGGCTGCCTTCTCTCATCCTGCCTACAATAAATCAGCCCACCTGCAAAAGGAGCTGCCAGGATGGATTTTTAGCTGTATGCCTGCTAGAGCACTGTTCTAGAAATTCATTGCAGTGCCGATTACAAATCTGATTTTGATCTTGATGTTTTTCATGGCTGGGTACTGCCATTTATTCTTCCTCTAGCATTGGTTTTTGCTTTAAATAATTATTGCCTTCCTGACAACGCATCAAGGAGAGCGACTGTGTCTTTCTTGTCTCTTCCATTTGCAAAGCTAAGCAGCTGCTGTTCTCCATGTGAGCCCCTTCGCGCTCAGAGCAGAGCGTGTGCCTTCCGAGCAGATTACGCAGCTCTAAGTGTGTGCTGTGCTTTAAAGTCCAGCAGGATTCCGCCTTGGAGTGGCAGAGCTTACAGTCTAAGTACAGATCAAGCGGGCAGAGCGAGAGAGAGAATGAGGTGAGCAGGATAACGAGGCTGATGAAGTTTGCAGCATGCTTAGTTGTGCACCGCTATGCATAAACGCAGTCTAGCGGTTTACGAGAGCGACGCTGGAGCTGCACAGCGCAGCAGAACCTGGTGGGGCCGTGGGGCACGTGGAGGAGAGCGAGTGGTGGGAAAGGAGTGTAAAGAAGTAGGCCTTGCCTACTTGTTGGGGACCGGGTGCCTCCAGCTCACGTTTTGGAGAGAGAGGGTGAAGAAACCCTCGGGAGATGTGTCTACCTGGATGTGGGTCTGCATTACTCTTTCATGTAAATGACAGTCTGAAGGGGCTTCTGCAACGCCCAAGGCAGGGTTTGGGCTAGCTGTAATCCTGTCCCCAAATTTCCAGCATTAAAAACAGGGCAAGTAGGCAGCCTGTTAAAATAACCTTAAAGGGGGTGAGCTGTAAGGGTGGGCAATATGCTGGGAAACCTGCCCCAGAAGTACCCGTCGAGGAGGCATCTCCCCTTTCCTCTTTGGAAAAATGAACTTTGGTCCTGGTGACAGGTCCTGCTGCAGAACCTTTTGGTGCAAATGCCAGAGGTGGGGAGCTGAAGAGCAGGAGAGCCCTGACTGACTTTACATCCCTCTTAGTGGACTGCGTATTCAACCTCTTTGGCTTAGAGAGAGGGTGGTATATAATTTTTATGTACGAAATACATATATGAGCCTTTAAGCAGTGTTTTCTGGTTCTTCCATACTACAACACTACCTTTTGTGTGGGTTGTTTTATTTTTCCATATCTGTATTTTCATTGCCTTGCTTTTTTTACTGATGTAGCAGAGCAAGAGATTTAAGTAATGGGGAAAGCTGTGAGAAAGCAGTTGTGCATTTGAATTTTCTAAAATTACATTTCAAACTGTTTTGGTGAATGTCCATCTCTTTTTTGGGGGGCTGGGTTTGTTTTTTTTTTTTTTTTCATTCCCTCCACCTTCAAGCCTTGCTTTGCCATGGGAAGATGAGATTTCTAAATGCTTCATGCTGCAGCATGATAAATGTTTCTATTCACTGGCGTAATCTCCAGCCAAAACCTCAGCGGTTCTTGGGCTGACTACCCAAACACCTACAGCCACGGCCGCCGAGGGGCAAGCAGTGACAGCGCTGCCATTTGGTGGTGGAATGGTGCTGGGTTTCAAGTTTTTGTCCAAAGTTTTCTGCTGATGACTCATTTCTCCTTCTTCCGGTCATCCTTTCGAGTAGAGGAGGGAAAAGTCTGTTTGCAAAGGGGGAGCTGTCCTGGTTTCGGCTGGGCTAGAGTTGATTTTCGTCATAGTAGCTTGCATAGCGCTGTGTTTTGGATTCAGTACTAGAAGAACGTGGGTAACCCCCTGATGTTTTAGTTGTTGCTGAGTAGTGCTCAGACCAGTCAAGGGGATGTCCCACACCGTATGACATCATGCTCAGTATATAGAGCTGGGGGGAGAAGGAGGAAGGGCGTCTGTCTTCCCAAGACACCGTAACGCGTGATGGAGCCCGGCTGTCCTGGGGACGGCTGAGCACCCGCCTGCCCGTGGGAAGCGGTGAATGAATCCCTTGCTCTGCTTTGCTTGCCCGCGTGGCTTTTGCTTTCCCTAATTAAACTGTCTTTATCTCAGCCCATGGGTTTTCTCACTTTTACCCTCCTGATTCTCTCCCCCATCCCGCTGTGGGGGGAGCGAGGGAGCGGCTGCGTGGAGCGGGCCGGGGTTAAACCACGACAGGAGTTCGTGCCGGGGAATGAACCAAATCTTTGAAATGCAACCCCGAGCCCTGCCCTTGTGCTCCGGCCACGCTGCAGTGCAAAACCCTCGCCCAGGAGGCGGCTTCTCCCGCTGCCCTGCGAGAACGCCTCACCGCCGGGGGTGTCCCCCACCCCGGGGGGGGTGTCCCCCACACCGCGCGCGTTTTAGAGCGGGAACCGGAAAAAGTAGCACCCGCTGTGAAGGGGGAAAAAAGAAAAGTTGGTGTTTCCGCCCGGGTTCGAACCCGG